TACATTCTATTAACCACATTTGCGCTGTTGGGGGACAGGTACCGGAGGTGGAGTAGGCCGAGAGGGAAGATCCGCTAAATCTGCCACCCAAGCAGCTTCCGCTAGTCTGGAGGATCTACGTACCATAGGACTAGGAACATAAGGGACAGACTCAGGGGTGACATTACTAGGGAAACCGAATCTGACACAACAGATGGAACAGACACAGGAGGGGCAACAACAGTTTCCTCCCTAGCATCAGCTGCCTCATCTTCTTTATCCAGCCTCTGCAGCTCAGCCTCCAATCCCAGAAGGTTGTGTAGTGCCTCTGGGAACTGACTATAAGGATGACCCAGTTGCTGGCACATATTGCACCAAATCTGGGTGTATTCTTTGGCCAAATGGCCTAAATCCTGGCACAGTGAGCACTTCTTGATGGTACAAGACGATGCAAAGTGGCCTTTCTCTCCACATTTATTACAAACTTTAGGCTGACCCTGATAGAAAATGGTCAGCCTATCCCTCCCCAGAAAGGCTGAGCAGGGCAGGTGCTGAACCACATTGCCCAGCACCCTCAATTGCAGCGACACTGTCCAGGCCACTGTCCATATCTCATGCTCATCCAGGACCTTCCGCAGTGGGGTGAGGACCTCGCCATATCGGCGTATCCATACTACCAAATCAGCCTCTGGTATGGATTCGTTATGGACCAGGATCATCACCAATTTTATCAAAGGCTGCCTTGAAACCACCTTTGCCACCAAACCTTTCCACTGCTGAAGGCCCCTTCATTTCCCATATCTCTCCCAAAAAAGATCCAGACCTTCAGGTTTAACAAACGATAAATTGTATTCATAACTGCCAACTGGGCAGATTGATGCAAATACATCACAGGCTTTAAAAACCCCATCATCTCAGCCACCCTCCCCCTTACTGGTGAGGTTACCTCCTCCTCTCATTTCAACTGTACAACATTCCTCCTCCTGAATCCACCAACCATCCCACCACCAAACCTCACCATATTGTGACCATTAGGATTTCCAACACTCCCTCCTCCCCCCTTAGTGCAACTCCCCAAAACAGAGGCATATCTCCCCATATTCCTCCCAGCAGAAGAAACATTTGTATTTCTGGGAGCATCTGGTGCGACTCTAGCAGATACCGATTGTACAGATACAAGATTGGATGGTGAATCCTCTCCCTGCTGAGCAGGGGGAGAGATGTAATTTTTACTCCTGTCAGCATTAACCCCTTTACCACCAACACATCCATTGCTTTACCAGTCATATTACTTGCAGACACATTCATAGATTTCACAGCAATGTCCGCATTCACTGCTGCAACCATAGAAACTTCAGCTAGCTGTCATCTCTTCCTCCAGGAAAGGACTTTCAGCCCAGGAACGTGTAGGCTGTTCAGCCATACCAACAAGTGAAACTTCACTGACACAGGAGACATCCATGTTTGCTGTCCACAGGGTGCAGTGTGCATCAAGCAGCTCTGGAACACATGGGAGCTCAGGTGAAACAGAATCTTTGAAGGTGGCAGCCATCTTGCCTGTAGAGGGACTACTAGTCTAAGCAGGAACAGCAGCAGTAACATCCATCTCTGGGGTGTTTGGTGCAGGTCCATCCACATTCCTAAGATGGTCTGGAGACCTCTCTGCCAGGGATTTTTCCTCCAAGTTGGCTGAGGATTCAATCACAGCAGAAAGTTCCACAGCAGGCTGTTTGCAGAGTTCCTTCTCATCAGCGGTACTCACCACAACCGGTGGGGCAGACATATTGGAAGCAGCCATCTTGGTGTACTGGGATTTCTCCACCAGTACTGGCTTTGCCGGTCTGTACCTCCTCTGTCCATCCTCAGGGACTTCTGAAGGGTCATCAGAAAAAGCAAACCTGTCTGCCTTCATGAGTGACTCCATCTGCTGGATTAAGGTCAGGGTGCCATGTTCACTCTCAACCCCCTGGCTGGTTGCCACTCCACAGCCTGACATGGAGGGAGAGACTCTGAGGTAGATGGGGAGCCGGGTCATCCATTACCTGAGCCTGCTGATCCCCAGAACTTGCTACTGTTTGGCTGGCAAGTCTCCTCTCATTGTCAAACTTTTCTTTAAATTCTTCACTTCTGGCTTTCAACTTTTCCAGTAATAAACATTGTTTCTTCACCTTCTCCTCCATCTGCTGTAATTTCAGCTTCATGGCCAATGTGTTCTTACTCCAGGCCTGGCAGTATTTGGCTCTGAAGGGTTCCCATCCCATCTAGTAACCTTGTGTTCTTTGACAGTCTTCAGTAGCATTTAATATGCTGAATATTTTGTACAACCCTTTGGTGGTATCAGGGACCACAGTTGAGGCCCCCTATACCTTGCATGGCGACAGCCATTTTTTTAGAGACTCCAACAGTAAGTCCCCCTACCACCGCCATTGTGAAGATGAAGGAATGGAGGTCTTATAATGTCAAATAAAAGAATTAACAGTTATTTCAGCTACAAGACCCCCACACAAAAGCCTATGAAACAAGCTGGAGACAGGAACTCAGGTGTAGAAATTTCCCCAGTCAGCAAAATATATTAAAACGGACTCCGGGCAGATTAAAATAAGAAAAAAACACAATTTAATCCAGTTATGTATTCATTAAAAAATCATTAAAGGATATGTGTAGTATTGACAGTTAAATAAGCCATACACCCCAGGCCCTCCTTAGCAATGTGATAGTGAAAAAATAGACCTCGGATGCAGAAGCTGATGAACACTGCCCCAGCCTGGAAGCCATGATGTAGTTATAGCAGCCGGCACAATGGGGAATCCACAGTAATCAAAGCACAGCCAGTATGCTCTTCAGTTTAGAGTATATATCGTGTACCATAATGGGTTCTTATCTACCCAGTAGGCCAATAGTTTTAAAGAGGACCGGAGCTCAAGTGAAGATTTTCTATCTTTTAGGACAGCCGTTCTCAACCAGGGTTCCATGGAATGCTAAGGTTCCTTTAGAGGTTGCAAAGGGTTTCTTAAGCAATGAGCAGTCTCTGACTCTCAGATAAGTAACCATTGACACCCGTGACCTTTTTAGCTACTGTACGGGAAGCATTCTTCCCACTCACCACCAATCAAAAAAACATTCTTCCCACTGTTGACCAATGAAAGAACCATTCATCCCACTGACCACCAATGAAAGGAACATTCTTCTCAATGAACACCAATGTAAGAACCATTTTTCCCACTGACCATCAAGGTGTGAAGCATTCAATCCACTGGCCACCAATGTAAGGAACATTCTTCCCACTGACTTCCAATGTAAGGAACATTCTTCCCACTGACCCCCAATGTAAGGGACATTCTTCCACTGACCCCAATGTAAGGGGCATTCTTCCCACTGACCACCAATGTAAGGGACATTCTTCCCACTGACCCCCAATGTAAGGGACATTCTTCCCACTGATCACCAATGTAAGGGACATTCTTCCCACTGATCACCAATGTAAGGGACATTCTTCCCACTGACCCCCAATGTAAGGGACATTCTTCCCACTGGCCACCAATGTAAGGGACATTCTTCCCACTGACCACCAATGTAAGGGACATTCTTCCCACTGACCCCCAATGTAAGGGACATTCTTCCCACTGACCCCAATGTAAGGGACATTCTTCCCACTGACCCCAATGTAAGGGACATTCTTCCCACTGACCACCAATGTAAGGGACATTCTTCCCACTGACCCCCAATGTAAGGGACATTCTTCCCACTGAACCCCAATGTAAGGAACATTCTTCCCAATTTTTCTTTATTAAAAGTCTTGCAATCAATAAACATAAAATAATATACAGAATATAAAAAATAAATATTTATATATATATTTACAGCAAAACGAAAATAAATATAGCAATATCTGCTGTCAGACAACAGCAAACGTCTCAGAAATGAACATGACATAATTGGGGAAATAAATCGTACTACCACTCATCACTACACCAGACATCAAACCTGTGAGGTCAAGAAACCACCCCGCCCCCCTTATGCATGCAGTCCTTCTTCAAAAAAGATCTTAATCAACAAAAACTACGGGAGTGAAAAGAACAGTATAAGGAAAGACCCCCCTCACCCAGAGATGGACAGTTCACCAAAGGCAGGTCTGATATTCCTCCACGCCCTTATCCAGACCACCCGAGGCTCTGCCCTTCTCAAGACCCCGAATCTTCCCAACCTCACCAGAATATCGTGCACCACCACCTCTACAGGGAGGACTTTCTTCCGCAGGGTAATCTGACACCGTGCGTTCCATGTGAAGTAACGAACAACTATACTAACTAGAAAAAGTGTATCCAAATCAAAGTCCCAGCGAGCTGGGAATGCCCCGTACACCCACTCTGCATAACTCATGCGATAGAGAAAGGGGATGCCCAGAACCCTCCCCACCCCTTTTATACACCTCTATATTAAAGGGACACAGGAGCAGAAAGTGGTCCATAGACTCCACTTTACCAACACACTCTGCTCTAGGACAATCCCGATCATCCACAGGGCGGTGCTTTTCAGGTTCCCTCTCACATAGAGCCTTCCATGGAAAGCGAGCCAGGCTTGATCCCTAAACTTCAAAGGGATTCTCTCCAAGTTAATTAAACGCAATCCCTCCCTCATTACGGAGCCTGGGCAATCCTTTAAGGCCAGTGACACACTGAAAGCAGAAGCCAAAATCTCTCCCCCAGAAGCTTCCTGGGAAGGGACCTGATATCCTCCACTGTCACCTGCCACTGCCGAAGTATTTTCAGACACGGGGCAACATAAGCCGGGAGCTTGCCATGTCGGACTCTCAGACTTTTCACTGGGCCGCCATCTTCCCAGCAATGCAGAAAAGGCCTAAACCAAGACTGAAAAATACCCACCCATCCCGGCGGGGTCTCTGCTAACATATTACCAAGATTGTACTTTAAAAAGAGCAAAGAAAAGAAAAACTATCGGGTTGACCATTCCTAGGCCACCCTCCCGCCTGGACAGGTAAGTTACATTGCGTTTGATCAGGTTCAGCCTGTTTCCCCATAACAGTTGGAAAAAACAGCTGTACAGCTGTAGACCCTTGCATAGAGAGATACTGGCAAGATACAGACGAAGCTGACATATAAAAAGATCGGGATCAGGTAAGTTTTGATCAAGTCAACCCTCTCTCTCAAGGAAAGCCTCCATCTCTTCCAGCTTGCTACTTTGGCATTGGCATCTACCAACCTTCTTTCCCAGTTTCGATGACCATAGTCACCAGGACCAAATTTGATGCCCAAAATTTTAATTTCCTGCTGGGGCTCTGGGAAGGCATCCGGAAGTTCGAAGCTTTCACCCTCCTCACTCATCCAGAAAACTTCACACTTTTCATGGTTGACTTTAGAGCCAAAAGCCTCCGTGTACTGCTCTATCACAGAGACCACCTCCTTCGCCTCCTCAGTCCCAGAGATAATAACAGACACATCATCAGCATAGGCAACGACCTTCAACGGCGGCACACCAGCAATGCCCAGAGGCACCCCGCACAACGATGCGCCCTCTAGCCTTCTTACAAAGGGGTCGATTGCGAAAGCATATAGCAGGGGGCTCAAAGGACATCCCTGGCGCACACCAGAGCCGACCTCAAAAGGCCGCCCAACCCAACCATTAACAAGTGGGAAGCTCTCAGCCCCTTTATATAATGTCTTCAGCCAATCTATATATAAACCTCCCCTGCAGGCCGTATCTACCAAGCAGCAACCCAGATATTCATGATTCACTCGATCAAAAGCTTTTGCCTGATCCAATGCCAGCAAGTACTTTCTCCAATCCAGCAGCCCTCATCGTTCCAAAGCCTCCACGGATAGCCAAAACTGCTGAAAAGGTACTTCTACCTTGGACCGAACAGTGCTGATGGCTGGGACAACAAATCGCCTGCTACTGACGACAAGCGCCAAAAATAGAATCTTTGCCAAGATCTTTCTATCAACTTTGAGAAGACTGATGGGGCGCCAGTTCTCAATCATTGAGGGGTCTTTACCTTTTGACAGAAGAATCACAGCAGGATGTGCCTCATGGTACAGGGAGGGAGCGAACCCTCTTCTAGACAGATGTTAAAAACCTCGCTAAAAAGGGAGCCAGAATGGACTTAAAACACTTGTAAAATTCAGCTGTCAATCCATCTGGCCCAGGCGATTTTTTGGTAGCCAGCTTGTCTATAGCATGAACTACCTCATCCGCTGAAATTGGTTCTGTCAAATTCATCAAAAGCAATGCGCCATTTCCCAATCCTGGAGTAGAATCCAGAAAGCTTTCCATCCTGTCCCGGCTAAGGTCCTTTCTTCCCAGGAGGTCTGCATAATACGATCCAAAGATCTCCAAGATCCCTGATCTGGACTTTATCAGGGAACCCGTACTGTCTTTCAGGCAATGACCGTCTTAACTGCTATGCCTTGCTTACAGTTCTGGTAAGGATCAGGCGAGTGATATTTCCCATAATCCCTCTCCAGAACCAAGGATTCATGCCGGTCGTATTGACATTTCCTAAGAAGAAGCTTCAATTCAGAGATCTCCCCTGGATCTCCTCCATAGCGCGGAGACAAGACGATCAAGCTTCCTCCGCAAATGCTGGTAGGTAAATATACACACCAAGCTGCTTCTTCTTACTTTGGCCTTGAAAAGTCCAATCGCCCTTTGTTTTCACAAGCTCCCACCACTCTGACTTACTGCTGCCAAAAGTCCAGAATAGAAACCTGTGCCTGAAAAAAAATCCTCAAAGGAGTGTCTTACCTCTACATCTTCCAGGAGAGCCGAATTCAGTTTTCCAGACACCCCTTCCCCTGGGTGGAGCGAACGAGACATTCAGAGTCACAGACAGCATACAGTGGTCAGAGAACTCCACCGCCCTCAACTCAGGAGCCGAGAAAGCAGAGTTCTCCTTTATCCTGTCTATCCTGCTCTGACTATTCCCTCTCTGAAATGTGAAACCCGTGTTGCCAGGTGTCAGGGCTCTGTCCACAGCAGAGATACTCGAGACCTGCATTCCTGCCAGTACCTCTGCATGGCCGCAGAAATTTACGCTGGCGGAAAATCTATACACATTGGCACATGGACACGAGCCGGAACACGCATGCGTACTGGCGCATAGTTACGCACGCATTAGCTCAGTTGGCACCAGACAGCTTTATAATGAAGCCCATCACTCCCTCAAATTGCTGGTTGATCTCTGGCTCCCAGAACCCTTGTCCGTGTTCCCTTGCTACTGTGATCTCCTGTTACCAATTTCCGCTTGTTCCTGGACCCTGTCTTCTCTGCCTGACTCCTGATCTGATCCTGGCTTGGCTAACGGATATTTGCACCCTGCTCTCCTGATCTGACCCCGGCTTGGTTAACGGATATTCTCACCTGCTTTCCTAATCTGACCTTAGCTTGGCTAATAGATATTCCCACCTGCTGTCCTGTGTATGACCCCGGCTATCCTATTGACTACGTCTGCTCCAATCTCCACCTGGCATCTGACCTTGGCTTTGAACCGTCTACTCTGTGGTCCTCTGCTACCCTGGAGGCCTGCATACCTCTCACGGCACCACCTGTCTGCAGACACCATTCCAGTGCATCAGCTTGTTCTCCTGGGTGTACCTCTGACAAGCACTTCTACAGGTGACCTGTGCTACTTTAGGCCTGAACTCCTTCTGTCCCATATCCATACCAGGGGAGTCTGGAACTTAGCCACAAGGGAAGCCCCTCTCTCCATTGACCTCCACCACCAGGTATGTGATACCAGGGCAGCGCTTAATGTGCACATCTACCAGGCCTGCATGTCTAACCATATTTCTAAGAAAACCGCTATTATAACCCAGCCTGTCTATGGAGCCTCTCCTGTCTTCAGGCCTAATTTATGGTGTTAAAGTCACCTCCAAAGACAACCTGCTGGTACGTGAAAAGGAAAGGCTTAAACTTTGTGAGGAGGCATTCCTTGTCCCATATTGACTGCGGTCCATAGATATGGATCAAGCGCAGGTCCTGCCCCCTAACAAAGACGTCTAAGAGCATGCATGTCCCCGTTCTCTACCTCCGCCGGCACGTTACCATATCTGTTTTAACCACCTCCCATCTGGTCATTGTATATAAACAGCCTGGATGGTGGCACTGCAGGGTCGGGTGGCCGTTTAATAAACAGCCTCCCCACACCCTGCTTGTGCGCGCTCCCTGGGAGCGCGCAGCACCGCGATCCGGTGCCCGCTGTGTCCTCCAGACACATGTGAAACACCGATCGTCGGACCATGGTGACACTGTTCTGCTAGGGTGACAGTATGTAAAAAAAGAAATAAATAATAATATAACAAAATAAAATAAAAAGGTAACAAAAATTTTAAAAATTATAATTTTTGATTATAAACTAATTTGGCTTATTTTTTTTCTTTTAACTAAAAAGATAACGGAATAAATTGTGGCCAAGATTTATGATGAAATATTATTTATTTGCAAAATTTTATAAGAAAAACACTTTTTTTCAAAATTTTTGTACATTTTCATTTACATAGCAAAAAAAATAAAAATCCCAGTGGTGAATAAATACCACCAAAATAAAGTTTTATCTGTCTCAAAGAAATGTTAAAAAATTCATATGGGTACAGTGTTGCATGACCGTGCAATTGTCATTCAAAGTGTGATAGCGCTGAAAGCTAAAAATTGGCCTGAACAGGAAGGGGAGGAAAGTGTCCGGACTGGAAGGGGGGGAAGTGTCCGGACTGGAAGGGGGGGGAAAGTGTTCGGACTGGAAGGGGGGAAAGTGTCCGGACTGGAAGGGGGGAAAGTGTCCGGACTGGAAGGGGGGAAAGTGTCCAGACTGGAAGGGGGGGAAAGTGTCCAGACTGGAAGGGGGGAAAGTGTCCGGACTGGAAGGGGGGGAAAGTGTCCGGACTGGAAGGGGGGGAAAGTGTCCGGACTGGAAGGGGGGAAAGTGTCCGGACTGGAAGGGGGGGAAAGTGTCCGGACTGGAAGGGGGGGGAAAGTGTCCGGACTGGAAGGGGGGGGGAAAGTGTCCAGACTGGAAGGGGGTGAAAGTGTCTGGACTGGAAGGGGGGGGAAAGTGTCCAGACTGGAAGGGGGGGAAAGTGTCCAGACTGGAAGGGGGTGAAAGTGTCCGGACTGGAAGGGGGTGAAAGTGTCCGGACTGGAAGGGGGGGGGGAAGTGTCCGGACTGGAAGGGGGGGAAAGTGTCCAGACTGGAAGGGGGTGAAAGTGTCCGGACTGGAAGGGGGGGAAAGTGCCCGGGCTGGAAGGGGGGGGAAAGTGTCCAGACTGGAAGGGGGGGAAAGTGTCCGGACTAAAATAAAGTTTTATCTGTCTCAAAGAAATGGTAAAAAATTCATATGGGTACAGTGTTACATGACCGCGCAATTGTCATTCAAAGTGTGATAGCATTGAAAGCTGAAAATTGGCCTGCACAGGAAGGGGTAAAAGTGTCCGGACTGGAAGGGGGGGAAAGTGTCCGGACTGGAAGGGGGGGAAAGTGTCCGGACTGGAAGAGGGGGGAAAGTGTCCAGACTGGAAGGGGGTGAAAGTGTCCGGACTGGAAGAGGGGGGAAAGTGTTCAGACTGGAAGGGGGTAAAAGTGTCCGGACAGGAAGTGGTTAAAAAGCACCTCAACTCTGCTGCAAGGCTCAGCCGCAAGAGACCTAAAGGAGGGACCACATCTCCACTCCCTTTTTGCTAGATAGACATCGGCCAATGTATTGAGCCAGGTCTCTTGCAAAAATAAAATCTCAGCATCAAACTCGCTGAGCAAAAATAAGGCCGTATCACGAGCTCTTGCAGATTTAATGCTGGTGACATCAATGGTCACCACCTTTAACAGAGTGGGAACTGCCATCAGGATGATTGGGGTAGTCGTTTCTTAACCTCTACCACACTCTCATCACCCGAAACCACTCTCTTCAGAGTACGTGACTCCCCCTCATCCATAGATGATAGAGAAATGGATATATCAGATACCATCTCAGCACCTAACAAAACTGAATAGGTGTTGCCAAGAGGGACCCCTCCTGGGTCTGATTCTGAAGAAGAAAGGACAGCTCTTCTCATCCTCCTTCTTTTTCTGCCTCTTAACCCTCTCCCACCCCCCATCAGCCAAATCCCCTTCAGCAGGAGGTGAGAGATGGACACCCCAACCTGAGCCCCATCGGCTCCACCCCCATCCAGCACCTCTACACTCTCCTAACCCCGTTTGCGCTGACGGGGGACAAGTGGAGTAGGCCGAGAGGGAAGATCCGCTAAATCTGTCCCCCCAGCAGCTTCCGCTAGTCTGGAGGATCTACGTACCATAGGACTAGGAACAGGAGGGACAGACTCAGGTATGACATTACTGGGGGAAACCGAATCTGACAGAACAGATGGAACAGACACAGTAGGGGCAACAACAGTTTCCTCCCTAGCATCAGCTGCCTCATCTTCTTTATCCAGCCTCTGCAGCTCAGCCTCCAATCCTGGCAGGTTGTATAGTGCCTCTGGGCACAGACTGTATGGATGACCCAGTTGCTGGCACATATTGCACCAAATCTGGGTGCATTCTTTGGCCAAATGGCCTAAATCCTGGCACAGTGGGCACTTCTTGATGGTACAGGACTATGCAAAGTGGCCTTTCTCTCCACATTTATTACAAACCTTAGGCTAACCCTGATAGAAAATGGTCAGCCTATCCCTCCCCAGAAAGGCTGAGCAGGGCAGATGCTGAACCACATTGCCCAGCACCCTCAATTGCAGCGACACTGTCCAGGCCCCTGTCCATATCCCATGCTCATCCAGGACCTTCCGCAGTGGGGTGAGGACCTCGCCATATCGGCGTATCCATACTAGCAAATCAGCCTCTGGTATGGATTCGTTATGGACCAGGATCATCACCGATTTTATCAAAGGCTGCCTTGAAACCACCTTTACCACCAAACCTTTCCACTGCTGAAGGCCCCTGCATTTCCCATATCTCTCCCTAAAAAGATCCAGACCTTCAGGTTTTACAAACGATTAAATTGTATTCATAACTGCCAACTGGGCAGATTGATGCAAATACATCACAGGCTTTAAACCCCATCAACTCAGTCACCCTCCCCCTTACTAGTGGGGTTCCCTCCTCCTCTCATTTCAACTGAACAACATTCCTCCTCCTGAATCCACCAACCATCCCACCACCAAACCTCCCCATATTGTGACCATAAGGATTTCCAAAACTCCCCTCCTCCCCCCTAAGTGCAACTCCCCAAAACAGAGGCATATCTCCCCATATTCCTCCCAGCAGAAGAAACATTTGTATGTCTGGGAGCAGGGGCGGACTGACAACTCATGGGGCCCCCGGGCAATAGGGGATCATGGGGCCCATATGTACTCGCCCACACTCAAACCACACCCAAAAAAGCCTATGAAAGGTACCAGTGGCATCTCATGGGGCCCCCTTCTGACACCGGGCCCTCGGGCACTGCCCAAGTTCCTAAATGGTCAGTCCGCCCATCTGGGAGCATCTGGTGCAACTCTAGCAGATACCGATTGTACAGATACGAGATTGGATGGTGAATCCTCGCCCTGCTGAGCAGGGGGAGAGATGTAATTTTTTACTCCTGTCAGCATTAACCCCTTTACCACCAACACATCCATTGCTTTACCAGTCACATTACTTGCAGACACATTCATAGATTTCACAGCAATGTCCGCATTCACTGCTGCAACCATAGAAACTTCAGCTCTAGCTGTCATCTCTTCCTCCAGGAAAGGACTTTCAGCCCAGGAATGTGTAAGCTGTTCAGCCATACCAACAAGTGAAACTTCACTGACACAGGAGACATCCATGTTTGCTGTTTGTTGTCCACATGGTGCAGTGTGCATCAATCAGCTCTGGAACACATGGGAGCTCAGGTGAAACAGAATCTTTGAAGGTGGCAGCCATCTTGCCTGTAGAGGGACTACTAGTCTAAGCAGGAACAGCTGCAGTAACATCCATCTCTGGGGTGTTTGGTGCAGGTCCATCCACATTCCTCAGATGGTCTGGAGACCTCTCTGCCATGGATTTTTCCTCCAAGTTGGCTGAGGATTCAATCACAGCAGAAAGTTCCACAGCAGGCTGTTTGCAGAGTTCCTTCTCATCAGCGGTACTCACCACAACCGGTGGGGCAGACATATTGGAAGCAGCCATCTTGGTGTACTGGGATTTCTCCACCAGTACTGGCTTTGCCCGTCTGTACCTCCTCTGTCCATCCTCAGGGACTTCTGAAGGGTCATCAGAAAAGGCAAACCTGTCTACCTTCATGAGTGACTCCATCTGCTGGATTAAGGTCAGGGTGCCATGTTCACTCTCAACCCCCTGGCTGGTTGCCACTCCACAGCCTGACATGGAGGGAGAGACTCTGATGAGGTAGATGGAGCCGGGTCATCCATTACCTGAGCCTGCTGATCCCCAGAATTTGCTACTGTTTGGCTGGCAAATCTCCCCTCATTGTCAAACTTTTCTTTAAATTCTCCACTTCTGGCTTTCAACTTTTCTAGTAATAAACATTGTTTCTTCACCTTCTCCTTCATCTGCTCTAATTTCAGCTTCATGGCCAATGTGTTCTTACTCCAGGCCTGGCAGTATTTGGCTCTGAAGGATTCCCATCCCATCTAGTAACCTTGTGTTCTTTGACAGTCTTCAGTAGCATTTAATATGCTGAATATTTTGTACAACCCTTTGGTGGTATCAGGGACCACAGTTGAGGCCCCCTATACCTTGCATGGCGACAGCCATTTTTTGAGAGACTCCAACAGTAAGTTCCCCTACCACCGCCATTGTGAAGATGAAGGAATGGAGGTTTCATAATGTCAAATAAAAGAATTAACAGTTATTTCAGCTACAAGACCCCCACACAACAGCCTATGAAACAAGCTGGAGACAGGAACTCAGGTGTAGAAATTTCCCCAGTCAGCAAAATATATTAAAGCTGACTCCGGGCAGATTAAAATAAGAAAAAAACACAATTTAATCCAGTTATGTATTCATTAAAAAATCATTAAAGGATATGTGTAGTATTGACAGTTAAATAAGCCATACACCCCAGGCCCTCCTTAGCAATGTGACAGTGAAAAAAATAGACCTCGGATGCAGAAGATGATGAACACTGCCCCAGCCTGGAAGCCATGATGTAGTTATAGCAGCCGGCACAATGGGGAATCCACAGTAATCAAAGCTTAGAGTATATGTCGTGTAGCCCCATGGACCATAATGGGTTCTTATCTACTCAGTAGATAAGTTTTAAAGAGGACCTGAGCTCAAGTGAAGATTTTCTGATTTTAGGACAGCCGTTCTCAACCAGGGTTCCATGGAATGCTAAGGTTCCTCTAGAGGTTGCAAAGGGTTTCTTACGCAATGAGCAGTCTCTGACTCTCAGATAAGTAACCATTGACACCCGTGACCTTTTTAGCTACTGTACGGGAAGCATTCTTCCCACTCACCACCAATCAAAAAAACATTCTTCCCACTGTTGACCAATGAAAGAACCATTCATCCCACTGACCACCAATGTAAGGAACATTCTTCTCAATGAACACCAATGTAAGAACCATTCTTCCCACTGACCATCAAGGTGTGAAGCATTCAATCCACTGGCCACCAATGTAAGGAACATTTTTCCCACTGGCCACCAATGTAAGGAACATTCTTCCTACTGACCTCCAATGTAAGGGACATTCTTCCCACTGACCACCAATGTAAGGGACATTCTTCCCACTGACCACTAATGTAAGGGACATTCTTCCCACTGACCACCAATGTAAGAGACATTCTTCCCACTGATCACCAGTGTAAGGGACATTCTTCCCACTGAACCCCAATGTCAGGAACATTCTTTCCCTGGCCACCAATGTAAGGCACATTCTTCCCACTGACCACCAATTTAAGGAACATTCTTCCCACTGACCTCCAATGTAAGGAGCATTCTTCCCACTGAACCCCAATGTCAGGAACATTCTTTCCCTGGCCACCAATGTAAGGCACATTCTTCCCACTGACCACCAATTTAAGGAACATTCTTCCCACAAGCCACCAATGCAAGGGGCAATCTTCCCACTGACCACTAACTTCAGGTTTCTCTAAGGTGGGCATTGTTTGAAGTGAGTGCCAGTGTAAGGGACATACTTCACATTGACCACCAATGTAAGGGGCATTCTTTCCACTGTCGACCAAAATAAGCAGCATTTTTCCCACTGACCACCAATGTAAGGAGCACTCTTCCCACTTTCGACCAATGACAGAACCATTCTTTCCAGTGCCCACCAATGTAAGGTGCATTATTCCCACTGACCACCAAATTCAAGTTTCTCTAAGGTGGGCATTCTTTGCAGTGAGTGCCATTGTAAGGGACATTCTTCCCATTGACCACCAATGTAAAGGACATTCTTTCCAATGACCTCCAATATAAGGAACACTCTTCCCACTGATCTCCAATGTAAGGGACATTCTTCCCACTGATCACCAATGTAAGGGAAATTCTTCTCACTGACCACCAATGTAAGGGGCATTCTTCCCACTGACCACCAATGTAAGGGACATTCTTTCCACTGGCCACCAATGAGAGGAACATTCTTCCCACTGACCACCAATGTGAGGAACATTCTTCCCACTGACCACCAATGTGAGGAACATTATTCCAACTGGCCACCAATGTTACAGCCATTCTTCCCACTGACCACCAATGTTAGAACCATTCTTCCATGTAGATATGTCCCCCCTAAAGCAATTGCGCATGTCCCGGTTTCAGGCACAATCAATCGATGATAGAACTACTGCTATCATTGATTGATCGTGCCTGAAACCGGGACATGCGCAGTTACTTTAGGGGGGACATATCTACATGGGAGACACATCTTGCCGCTACACCGGACCCCCTCCAAGAAAAGGTAAGTTGTAAAGAAAGCCGATGATCCCCGCAGGATGGATCGGATTTGCTGATTGAGCATAATGGATCGGAGTCTGATCTATTATGTTCAATCCGCAGATCAGATCCATTTTGCGGGGATCATCGGAGGGGGTGTCACCAAGTGTTACCGCACTGGGTGACACCAACCCTAGGGACGCCTCTGTACAGACCACCAATGTAACGAACATTCTTCCCACTGACGACCAATGAAAGAACCATTTTTTCCATTGACCACCAATGTGAGGGACATTCTTCCCACTGACGAGCAATGGTAGAACCATTCTTCCCAGTGCCCACCAATGTAAGGGACATTCTGCCCATTGACCCCCAATGTAAGGAGCACTCTTCCCATTGATGACCAATGACAGAGCCATTCTTCCCAGTGCCCACCAATATAAGGAGCATTCTTCTCGCTGACCACCAATGTGAGGGCATTCTTCCCACTGACGACCAATGATAGAATCATTTTTTTCCATTGACTACCAATGTGAGGGGCATTCTTCCCACTGATCACCAATGTAAGGGGCATTCTTCCCACTGACGACCAATGACAGAACCATTCTTCCCAGTGCCCACCAATGTAAGGGACATTCTTCTCGCTGACCACCAATGTAAGGAGCACTCTTCCCATTGAGGACCAATGACAGAGCCATTTTTCCCAGTGCCCACCAATATAAGGAGCATTCTTTCCACTGACCTCCAATGTAAGGGACATTCTTCCCACTGACCCCCAATGTAAGGGACATTCTTCCCACTGACCCCCAATGTAAGGGACATTCTTCCCACTGACCCCCAATGTAAGGGACATTCTTCCCACTGACCCCCAATGTAAGGGACATTCTTCCCACTGACCCCCAATGTACGGGACATTCTTCCCTCTGACCCCCAATGTAAGGAACATTCTTCCCACTGACCCCCAATGTAAGGGACATTCTTCCCACTGACCACCAATGTAAGGGACATTCTTCCCACTATACGGGGTGACACCGGACCCGCTCCAAGAAAAGGTAAGTTGTAAAGAAAGCCGACGATCCCCGCAGGATGCATTGGATCTGCGGATTGAGCATAATGGATCGGAGTCCAATCCATTATGCTCAATCCCAGATGCGATCCATTCTGCGGGGATCGTCGGAGGGGGTGTCACCAAGTGTTACCGCACCGGGTGACACCAACCCTAGGGATGCCTCTGGTTACCATAGATATATCGCTTAACTGCAGTTGGAGAGAACCAGGTTGATGTTGCTGTCCAGCATGACCATAAAAAAAAAATCAGGGCTAGCTGAACAGAATCACAGTGTTTGGCATATAAAGCAGAATTTCGGCTTTATATTCTCGGGTTTGCGTAAAGTTCGGATTTAAACTCATCAAAATCGGAGCCCACGGCAAGTACAAAAATAACTAAACACTGTTTATAAATGTTTTAACACAAAATTCACACAGTTGTCACCCAGGATTCACACTTTTGTTTTTAATTGAATCAATGAAGACAATTTGTGTGTATCTTGGGGATTGCGCACAGCCAGGTAAGTGTATTTCATTGTAAACACGCCGTGTCTCCTCTGGAAAAAAAAAAAAACGCGCCTGGCCGCAATGCTTTTATTTTGTAACTTTAGTTCTATTTTAATACAGTTTACGTCATTGTACAGATTTATTGCAATCTCAGGATCCTCTGTGTCATAGCCGGGCTTGTTTAGATCCTCTTTAACCACTTCAATACCCGGTACTTTTACTCCACCCCCCTTACTTTCCAGGCCAATTTTCAGCTTTCAACGCTCTCCCACTTTGAATGACAATTGCGCGGCCATACAACATGGTACCCAAACTAAAATTTTATAATTTTCTTCACACAACTAGAGCTTTCTTTTAGTGGTATTTAATCACTGCCGGGGTTTTTAAATTAACAAAAGAAAGACAGGACATTTTGAAAAAAAAACATGTTTTTCTTTATTTCTGTTATAAAAGTTTGCAAATAAATAATTGTTCTTCATAAATTTAGGCCGAGATGTATTCTGCTACATGTCTTTGGTGAAAATACCCCAAATTAGGATGTATTATTTAGTCTGTAGGAAAGTTATAGAGTATATAATATATATATGGAATATACAGTATCTGCAAATCGATCAATCCTGAAGTACTGACGGACAATCTCATTTCTTGAGGCCCAAAAATGTCAGGACAGTACAGATATCCCCCAAATGTCAGAATAGTACAGATATCCCCCAAATGTCAGGACAGGACAGATATCCCCCAAATGTCAGGACAGGACAGATATCCCCCAAATGTCAGGACAGTACAGATATCCCCCAAATGTCAGAATAGTACAGATATCCCCCAAATGTCAGAATAGTACAGATATCCCCCAAATGTCAGGACAGGACAGATATCCCCCAAATGTCAGGACAGTACAGATATCCCCCAAATGTCAGAACAGTACAGATATCCCCCAAATGCCAGGACAGGACAGATATCCCCCAAATGTCAGGACAGGACAGATATCCCCCAAATGTCAGGACAGGACAGATATCCTCCAAATATCAGGACAGGACAGATATCCCCCAAATGTCAGGAGAGTACAGATATCCCCCAAATGCCAGGACAGTACAGATATCCCCCAAATGTCAGCACAGTACAGATGTCCCCCAAATGTCAGGACAGTACAGATATCCTCCAAATGTCAGGACAGTACAGATATCCCCCAAATGTCAGGACAGGACAGATATCCCCCCAAATGTCAGGACGGTACAGATATCCTCCCAAATGTCAGGACGGTACAGATATCCTCCAAATGTCAGGACGGTACAGATATCCTCCAAATGTCAGGACAGTACAGATATCCCCCAAATGTCAGAATAGTACAGATATCCCCCAAATGTCAGAATAGTACAGATATCCCCAAAATGTCAGGACAGTACAGATATCCCCCCCAAATGTCAGGACAGTACAGATATCCCCCAAATGTCAGGACAGTACAGATATCCCCCAAATGTCAGAACAGTATAGATATCCCCCAAATGTCAGAACAGTACAGATATCCCCCAAATGTCAGAACAGTACAGATATCCCCCCAAATGTCAGGACAGTACAGATATCCCGCAAATGTCAGAACAGTACAGATATCCCCCAAATGTCAGAACAGTACAGATATCCCCAAATGTCAGAACAGTACAGATATCCCCCAAATGTCAGAACAGTACAGATATTCCCAAAATGTCAGAAAAGTACACATATCCCTCAAACGTCGGAACAGTACAGATACCCCCCAAATGTCAGGACAGTACAGATACCCCGCAAATGTCAGGACAGGACAGATATCCCCCAAATGTCAGCACAGTACAGATGTCCCCCAAATGTCAGCACAGTACAGATGTCCCCCAAATGTCAGGACAGTACAGATATCCTCCAAATGTCAGGACAGGACAGATATCCCCCAAATGTCAGGACAGGACAGATATCCCCCCAAATGTCAGGACAGGACAGATATCCCCCCAAATGTCAGGACAGGACAGATATCCCCCAAATGTCAGGAGAGAGTACAGATATCCCCCAAATGCCAGGACAGTACAGATATCCCCCAAATGTCAGCACAGTACAGATGTCCCCCAAATGTCAGGACAGTACAGATATCCTCCAAATGTCAGGACAGTACAGATATCCCCCAAATGTCAGGACAGGATAGATTTTCCCCCCAAATGTCAGGACGGTACAGATATCCCCCCAAATGTCAGGACGGTACAGATATCCTCCAAATGTCAGGACAGTACAGATATCCTCCAAATGTCAGGACAGTACAGATATCCTCCAAATGTCAGGACAGTACAGATATCCTCCAAATGTCAGGACAGTACAGATATCCCCCAAATGTCAGAATAGTACAGATATCCCCCAAATGTCAGAATAGTACAGATATCCCCCAAATGTCAGGACAGTACAGATATCCCCCAAATGTCAGGACAGTACAGATATCCCCCAAATGTCAGGACGGTACAGATATCCCCCAAATGTCAGGACAGTACAGATATCCCCCAAATGTCAGAACAGTACAGATATCCCCCAAATGTCAGAACAGTACAGATATCCCCCCAAATGTCAGGACAGTACAGATATCCCGCAAATGTCAGAACAGTACAGATATCCCCCAAATGTCAGAACAGTACAGTATCCCCAAATGTCAGAACAGTACAGATATCCCCAAAATGTCAGAAAAGTACACATATCCCTCAAACGTCGGAACAGTACAGATACCCCCCAAATGTCAGGACAGGACAGATATCCCTCAAATGTCAGGACAACACAGATATCCCCCAAATGTTAGAAAAGTACAGATATCCCCCAAATGTCAGGACAGTACAGATATCCCCCAAATGTCAGGACAGTACAGATATCCCCCAAATGTCAGGACGGTACAGATATCCCCCAAATGTCAGGACAGTACAGATATCCCCCAAATGTCAGGACAGTACAGATATCCCCCAAATGTCAGAACAGTACAGATATCCCCCAAATGACCCCTTTTTGCAGAGTAGACAGTCCGACGTACTTCATAAGAGGCATGGCGAGTTTTTTGAAGTTGTAATTTTTTTGTCATAATTTTTCGTAAAATTAAAAAATTAAAAAAATAATTTTCACAATTTTTTTTTTTACATACTGTCACCAGTGCAGTACAGCGTCATCATATAACTGGTGTGGAGGTGATCAGGGACACTGACTCGTGACAGTACGAAAAAAAAAAAGTGATAATTTTGTTCAATTTTTTTTTTACATTTTTTTCTCTTTTTTTAAGATTTTTTTTCATATTACACTTTGACCAAAGTAGTATAATGTTACCATAGTAACATTGTACTACTTTGGGGAAGTGATCAGTATTTTTTTTTTTACACAATTTGATTGCTTATAGCAAATAATTTCTTTGCTATAAGCAAGCATTTAACTGAATGAAATCGATTCATTCAGGTTTTTTTTTTTTGTTGCGATTAGCTGTGATTGTCCATGGCTAATCACATGACACAGATGAGCCATGATTGGCCCAGCCTGTGCATGTGATCGCTGTGACCATTCACAGTTAGACACAGGTATATACAATGGATGGCATGAAAGGAAGCCATCCATTGTATACAACTGCTATGCAACCTGCTGTGATTGGTCACAGTAGGTCACATGGTACTGGCCAGTACACAGATCTGTCATCGGACGTGTTCAAGGTACACCACCAGTGACAGATCTTGCCACAGCAATAGAATTCTATAGAGTGGCCCCGATCCTCCTCTTCTTGTGTCCCTCCTGCTGGTGCTCTTGGCTCCTCCCCTCTTGTTGGTGCCCCCAATGGAAAGCCAGTTCCCATGGGGGCACTTGTGAAGGCTTGCTCCCGTGTCCATCGATACAGACAGCGGGACTCAGCCCCGCCCACCCGCTCCCTTGTCACTGGAGTTGATTGAGGGCCAGAGGGTCAGTAGGGGGCTCCATGAGATGCCCCTGGTACCTTTCATAGGCTTTTTTGGGTGTGGTTTGAATATGGGTGAGGACACAGGGGCCCCATGTTCCCCTATTGCCCGGGGGCCCCATGAGTTGTCAGTCCGCCCCTGGAGTTACTGTTGCCTTTCTATCATCTCCAACCAGTCTGCCCATTCTCCTCTGACCTCAACAAGGCATTTTCCTCCACACAACTGCCGCTCACTGGATATTTTCTCTTTTTCGGACCATTCTCTGTAAACCCTACAGATGGTTGTGTGTGAAAATCTCAGTAGATCAGCAGTTTTTGAAATACTCAGACCAGCCTCTCTAGCACCAACAACCCTGCCACGTTCAAAGTCACCTAAATCCCCTTTCTTCCCCATTCTGATGCTCAGTTTGAACTTCAGCAAGTCGTCCCCACCACGTCTAGATGCCTAAATACATTGAGTTGCTGCCATGTGATTGGCTAATTAGCAATTTGTATTACCAAGC